TCAGGTTGGGGTGGGGTTTTGTGTTGGTTGGGTTTTTTCCTGAATAAATATAACTCTAATTGATTTTATAATTATAAATTGATACATGCTCATTATAACACTCAGATAATGCATAAAGGAGTAAAGAAGAAAGTGAAAATAACTACTTCCCTGAGAAAACTTATTTTCCTTCTAGCAAGACAAATCTTCCTCTTTTGTTCCTTTAAAAATTTTTTATTTTTACATTAAAGGGATCTTCTGTGCATGCTGGTTTCCTTCTACGAATAACTAATGTGCATACACAGGGTACAGTACAAAAAGTTCAAATGGGTAGAAATATGGAGAACGTACAGGGTGCCTTTTTTAAGCATACCTCTGGCTCTGGTTCCCCTGAGCTAGTCACCTATCAGTTGATTGCATGATTAAAGAATAGCTGTTGTGCTGGTCCCCGTGGGTACAGAGGTGAGTTAGACAAGCAAAGCTCCTGTCCTCAGGTTTACACACCTCACTGCTTCCTTAGATCTGTTCGTTCAAGATCTCAAACCACAATCATTGTGGACACCAGGGAGAGAGAGGCACAGAATGGAATGGGAATCACGGAATTCCTGGGCAGAGGGGTCAGAGTCCTGGACAGGTTTCCATCTACCGTATCCCACCTTTATTCTTTGAGGCCTTGGCAACCCGGAGCTTCCTGTGATCTTCCCAAGTTGTACCTTTGTCGAGCCTGTGAGGTGCATTCCCTCCTCCCTTTGGAGACGCAGTAGAGCCCTTCCTAAGGGATGTGAGGTTCTGCGGGCAGGAGGAATGGGAGTGGTGTCTCTGAGTCAGTCCCAGGGGTGGGGGTGAGCAGGCGTTCCTGGCCTGAGCCAGTGAGTGACTACAACCCTGTCGTGATGGCTCCTCAGTGGAGCTGCTGCTCATGGGGATGCCTCCCATTCATTCATGCCTGCATTGCACATTGAATGAGCTCCTGCTGTGTACCAGGAGCTCAGTAAGCACTGTCAGTGGAGACATGAGCAAGACCACTGTCTCTTCTTTCAAGGGATAGTTGTTGGGGGGGAGATAAATATGAGGAGAAATAATAAAATTGCACGATGCAAAGAGCCATGGGGCACCGGGAGAAACCTTCATAGATGAGGTGACATTTCAGCTCAGTCTTGACATATGACCAGAAAGGAGGAAAGTGAAAATAACTTGCATGAAGAAGCGAATGCACCAGGTGCCCTCTCTTCGGGCTTTTCTTCAGAAAGAGCAGTGGGCAAGAGGATGGAGAACAGGGCTGTGAGGGAGAGTGGTGGGGGCAGGCAGCACTGGATGTCCTCTCCTGCTGTCCTCACCTAGAATTTCTTCTTCACCACTCTTTCTTGCATCTAGTCCACAGGTACGAGCCACTCCCAGAGTCTGACCTTTGCTTCTGCATCAGACTCTCACCCTTTAATTGCCCCAAACGTGAATTCATCCTGAGCTGTAGATGATCTATGAGACCTAAAGGGACATACATCCCTCTCAAGGGTACGTGCATTTGAACAGTTTTCAAAATTGTAAGCCAAAGGCTCACTGCTCCGAATGGGTCTTTGAACATCAAACCATAGACAGAAGGTTGGGGGAATGGGATGGGGGGTTGGAAATGAGGTCTTATCAGAACCTCTGAATCATCAAACCTTCACCTTTAGATTCTAGCCCCCAGGCCTTAGGTAGTGCCATTCATTGAAACCTCTTGAATTCTCAGCCATCCAGACACACTGCCAGCCCCAGGAAATCTGGCTCATGAGCACTGGGACCCAGAGCTGATCTCCTGCCCTGAGCACCCTGCAGTGGTGACACCATACCTTCTTGAGGCTAGCCCTGTGTTCCCTGACCGGCCTCATGCACTTGCACTTGGACTTAGGGGCTGGGTGAGTTTAAAGATCCTAGCAGGGAGCTGTATACTTAGCTTCTCTGACTAGGAAAATGCAGGTATGTGAGTGGGAGCAGGAGTGGGGGCCGCAGAGGAGCTGCAGCAGTCCAGGCGGCATTGCTGGGTGGAGGCCTTGGAGGTGGGCAGGCGCCAGGATCGATTCGCCTACAGGTCATCAGCTAAGAGCTCATTTACTTTTAAGTCTGTGGCTGTCACTTTAAGGTTTTCAGGGGAAGAAGCCTGAACCCTACAAAGCAATCATTGACTTTAGTCAGACCAATGAGAGCTCGTGACATCTGCAGCTTGAATGAGACAGGCACGTTCCCGGTCCCCCCTCCCAGCTCATGGGCTGGGCTCCTTGGTCCTGTGGAGCAGCTTTCTGGGCTTGCACGGGGCCTCACCAGCCATGGAGAGCAGCCAGCTGAGCCCCACACTTTGTCAGCACTTTCATTAGGAACAAGGACAGGCCCTAGTTTCACTCCTGTCAGAGCCACCAGCCCTTCTCCCCCGACACGTGGGGACTGGCAGTGAGATCTGCCTTTTGTATTGGGGCTTCCCAAACACTAGGTTCCTGTGAACAGCATTCCCAAGAGAGATGCTCTGACCACAGGGGTAGATGGTGACAAGAGCTTGGGAGTTTGGTGTAACCAACCCCCTTTGGGGAGGCAGTGCTCACTGTATGCAGTAGTGTTAAAGGCTCTGAGAAGTCCTGCTGTGAGGAAACCTGCTTCACTTTACCAAGCCCCAGATTTCCCTCTTATTTGATCACAGGTTCCTAGATTACTGGTGTTTTGTGACCTGCATTTCAGGAACACTGCCCTAAATGCCTTCAGCTTCTGTTGTCATTTGTCAGTGATCTGCAGGCGTGCTCTTAGTTCCCTTCACCTATCATCTAGGCCTGGTGTCAGAAAAGGGCATGGAACCCTGGGCCACCTCTTCTGCCATGTTCCCATCTTCACTGTACCATCTGGGCCTGGGGAATTCTGGGTGCCTGAACCAGGCCGAGGACAAGCTAGCCTATAAGGAGGGCTTATGGCGCACCAGGTCCTGGTGTGGTCCCTGGTTGCTCTACGCCTGCTCCAGCTCTGGGTTACAGCCTGTGATGGGAGGGGGAGAATGAACACGTCCTGTGATCAGCGGGCAGTGGTGGCCCTGGATGAGCCATGCGAGGGGTTTGTCCTGAGAAATGGGCAAGCAGGCTAGAAGAGCACCTGTGGTGGGTGTCTGCCGGCATGGTTAGCTCTCGGTCTCTCCTGGCACCCAGAGAGGCAAGGAGGAGGAATGGCTAGGTGCGCTGGGGGACTTCCCATGCAGCGAGGCTGCACTCTGACTGGGAGGGTTTAAACAAGCAGAGTGGGGTGAGGAGGGGGGCTGCCTCTGGGGTCCACCGAGCCCATCCAGTCTTCAGATCTGATGGCTGAGCCCCGTGAGGGGGTCCTGCGTGAGTGTCAGGGGTGTGTGGGAAGGAAGGATGGCCAGCTGCTGGAGAATGGGCTGTGACTCAGGGATGCATGGGGTGGCGGAGGAGGTGGCTCTGCCTAATGAGAATGGAAGTCCTCGAGGCTGGGATGCCCCCAGTCACCTCAGGCCCTGTGGCCTCCTGTTCTAGCACCGGGACTGGAGCAGCATCTACCTGCCTGTAGATGCCCTGTGCCCCGCCTCTCCTCGGAGGTGCCCTGAGTGCTCATTGCCATCAAGGTTCGCTGGCACTGATGTCATGACGGGGATGGGGAGGTATCGTGTTAGGATCAGCCCTCCTTTTGGCTCCCCCGAAAAGGCTCTGCGTCCCACATCTTACACAGCCACCCTGATGGGTCAGGCGACAAGGAGAATGGTCCCTTCCTTTCCCTCCACGTTGCCAGATCAACTGCTCCTCTCTCCTGCCTGAATTCCGACAGAGCATAGGTTGCTTGGCAGGGCCGGTGGCAGTAGCTGGCTTGTGTTTGTCACAACAATAGTTAAAGAATAAAATCCAGCATGCAGAGTGACTCAACTCGGGAGCCGGTGATTCCCTTGCTCTTGCTTTGCTAACAGTCCCTGAGCCTGCCGCCCCCTGGGCTTATGGCACAACCTTCCTGCGGGAGTCAGGATGCTGGCACTAGAATCATAATGCTGTTTTCTCAGAAAGGCACGGGGAGCCCCTCACCTGTCTTCAGAAAAATGCAGCAGGAAAGAAAGCCTGAATGTGTTATCCATTCATTTGTAGTTTGGTTCACCGAGGCCCCAGCATTGCCGCCCTGGATTCAGACTCACGATGGTGTGTCTGTTTTCTGTGGGTGTAGAAGTGTAGCAGAGAATGAGGTGGGCAAGGCAAGGCTCTCCTGGCCCTTTAAATATTCTTCTGGCCTGGATGGTGTGGCTCAGCGGTTGAGCACCGACCCAGGAACCAAGAGGTCACTGGTTTGATTCCCAGTCAAGGCACATGCCCGGGCTGCGGGCTCGATCCCTAGTAGGGGGTGTGCAGGAGGCAGCTGATTGATGGTTCTTTCTCATCAATGTTTCTACCTCTCTGTCCCTCTCCCTTCTTCTCTCTCTAAAATCAATAAAAATAGATTTTTAAAAATAGTCTTCTGAATTGGATACTCACGCAGAAGGGAGCTCACATGGAGAGCGTTGTTCCTTCCAGTGGTTCTTCTGCTCAGGCCAGCAGAGGCTCCAGAGGCGGGGACTCCAGCTGTGACTCCCAGAGGCAGCAGCAGCCCACCTGTGTCCCTGCTGAGGCACCGGCCAGCCCAGGGGTTTGCCGACCGGGAAGAAAAGGAGCCTGCAGTGGCGCCAGGGGCTCTTCCTCTCTTCCTTCCTTCTATTCTCAGCCCTAGCTAATTCCCGGACATGTCCTTGAATTCACTGAGGAACTGAAGTGTCTACCATATGTCTAACTATATTATTTGTTGGCTCCCCCCCTTTTTTTTTCTTGGATAAGATGTGTTGTGTTTAGAGCCCAATCAGAAATGGTTACAGTTTCCCTGGCGAAGGACCGTTCGCTGTCCCGTGTACTAGAGTACATCACGCCGACTGCACAGGCGCCGTGGGGGCTGATAAAGTTTGTTTTATGCGCACAGCCATCTAGGAGGCTGCGTCCCTCTCTCTTGGGTGAATCTGTTCCTTAACTCCTGCTTCCCACGCCGTTTGAGTACATGATCCTGGCCACCATCATTGCCAACTGCATCGTCTTGGCCCTGGAGCAGCATCTTCCCGAGGATGACAAGACCCCCATGTCCCGCAGACTGGTATGTGCCTCCCCCCTCTTGCCTTTCCTCCCTCCTCCTCTTCCCCTGGTCCCTTCTCCTCTGCTCCATCGCTTGGCCCCTTTCCCTCCCCCTGCCCTGCTGTGCTCTGAGGAACCCCATTGGGATACATAAGGGCGAGAGGACTGACCTTCGAACCCCTGCGCCCAGCAAGTTCGGGGGGCACTGCAAACGATGTGTAGTGTCTTCAGGGCAGCCAGACAAGAAGGAAGGGCCGGGCAGGGTCCATTCTCTTTCCTCGCTTCCTGAGGGACTTGCGAAGTGAGAGGAGAGAGGGTGGGCGATGCTCAGAGCCGGTGCCCTCCGCCCCTCGCTCCCGGCCCGGGCAGGTGTCCCGGAGGACAGAGGAGAGGTCAGGGCGGAGGGGCGGCCGGGCGTGCCTTTGCCTGCGTCACGAAGCGCACCCTCCCCTGACGGTCCTCTGCCCCTCACCCCGCAGGAGAAGACGGAACCGTATTTCATTGGGATCTTTTGCTTTGAAGCTGGGATCAAAATCGTGGCCCTGGGGTTCATCTTCCACAAGGGCTCGTACCTCCGCAATGGCTGGAATGTCATGGACTTCATCGTGGTTCTCAGCGGGTGAGTCTTCTTCTTGTCTCTTCTCTGAGTGGGGCGGGGTGTGGTGTCCCGAAGTGGCTGATGCAGCACACCCCGGGTGGGAAGAGGGGGCGCAGAGGAAAAAGTTCAAGGGTAAAATTCCCCCTGGGGCTGGGCCTTAGGCGGCCGCCTGCGGGGGCCTGCGGGTCCTCTGTGGAGGTGCGTGTGGCTTTCCGAGGAGGCTCTGGAACCAGGGTCTGGCGGCTGCTGCTTCTGGTGTCCCATCCTGCGCTTGGCTAGCACTGAACACGTTTCCCGGCTGGTTTCAGCCTGAGGGGCACCCCCAAAAGATGGGCCAAAAGATGTATCAGGTGCAGTGTTCTTTCAGAGTTGGCAGAAGACCTCAACCGTATCTTCTGAACTGGTCGCTGAGACTCATGTTCGGACAACAGAATTTTTTATGATTTGCAGGTTTATCAGCATGAGGAGGCATACAGTTGGCTCCCATTAATGTCTGATAAATCATTCCTTTGGGAATTAATACAGAAATACCACGTCGTAGCTGACCCAGAGTCATAGCAGCACATTTATTTAAGTATCTGACACATCTTTCCTGTTGGAAATGAATAGAGCATGCCTGTATTGGCGCTGATCCAAGGCCACTGGCGGCTTATGTGATGGGCCTTGGACTGGTGGTGATGGGCAGTCCTCATTGGGCTTTGTGGCTTCTTTTCGTCTTTGTGTCAGGTGGTTGTGGACCTGACGCAGGGCGGCAGAGGAGCAAGCCCAGCCCTTGAGGGAGCCTGTGTCCTCCGTGGGTGTGGCGGCAGGAGGTGGGGCATGGAAATCCTCTTATCCAGCGGTGTGTCAGACAGGAGTTCACACCTCTGAGAGAAAGAAGAGAGTGGAGTAGAAAGGGAGGAGGGGAGAAATACGAGCCACCATTATGACTGACCAAAAGGGGAGGGGAGCAAAGTAGAAATTTCTTCCAGGGAATAGCCAGGGGTATGGGGTAGGTAAAAGTCTGAGAAGAGTAGGAACTTGGGAACGTTTGCACATATTCATTGTCTCCTGGGATAGACAAAGTACTCGTATTTTTAACCTTCACACCAATTGCGATAAAATGAGCAGGTTGAAGGTGTGATCAACTGGAATTTACAAATGGGAGCTCATAGGCCGCCAGCCCCTCAATACAAGGAACAGATAAATAGGTAGAGGTGATTATTAATTTTGGAAAAACACCTGTTGCCTTACAAAAGGATTTTCTGAAGGTTATTTTTCTAAAATAAAATTCTCCATTTTAAATGTGAGTTCCTGTATAAAGATACAATTTATACGTAGTGCTTCAGAAGTACATGGTCATAGAAAATCCCTCACCACCTGGGTGATGTCTTATTATTTAGTTTTTCCAGCTTTGTTGGGGTATGATTGACAAATAAAAATTGTATGCAGTTAAGGTGTACCATGTGATGTTTTGATATACCTATACATTGTGAAATAATTATCACAGTGGAGCTAATTAACATATCCATCGCCTCACCTAGTTACCTTTTGTGTGTGTGTGGTGAGAACACTGGATATCACTCTCTTAGCAAATCTCAAGTATAAAATACATTGTTATTAACTGTGTGACCACACGCTGTACTGTAGATCTCCGGAATGTATTCATCCATAGATGAAAGTTTGTACCCTTTGATCAGTATTTCCCTTTTTTCTTCACTCTCCCACCCCTGGTAACAACCATTCTTTTCTCTGTTACCATAAATTTGATTTCCCCCCCGACTCCACATATAAGTGAGATCATACAGAATTTGTCTTCTGTGTCTGGCTTATTTCTTAGTATAATGTCCTCCAGGTTCATCCATGTTGTCACCAATGGCAGAATTTCCTTCTTTTTTAGGGCTGAGTAATATTTTATTGTGTATCTACTGTGTATATATACGCACACGCACACATACATATGCCCCACTCTCTATCCATTCATCTGTTCACAGACACTTGGGTTGTCTCAGGGTCTCGGTTACTGTGCGTAATGCTGAGATGAATATGGGAGTGCCGATGAATCTTTTCAAGATAGAGATTTCTTTTCCTTTAGATAAATACCCAGAAGTGGGGTTGCTGGATCATATGTTAGTTCTGTTCCTAATTTCTTGAGGAATCTTTATACTGTTTTCTACAGAGGCTGTGCCAGTTTACATTCCCACCAGCAGTGCACAAGGGTTCCCTTTTCTCCATAACCTCGCCAACACTTTTTTTTTGCTTTTTGATAATAACTGGGTGATGTTGTAAATGTCCCTAAAACCAATAATATATGCTATATAGTCAAAGGCATAAATAAGAATGTGAGTAATTGAGAATTGTGATTCTGCCTAGAAGAAAAGTACTGTGATGTGTATGTATTATACGTTAAGATTGTGTGACTCCTTGGTCTCCCTGAGTTCTATATGTGTTAGATAGAGCCATGTGAAATTTCCCATCTCATCTACTTATTTTTATTTTAAACTGTTATATGTTCATTAAAGAAAATAGAGAAAATAGAGAAAAATCAAAAGAAGAAAAATATAGTTCACTGATTTAGAAAAAGTCCTGATTATTTTGTGGTATTTCCTTCCAGCCCTTTCATGCTATGCAAGCTCTCTTTTCAATGCTTGCAGTTTTTCTGCCTGTTCTCAATATAGTAAGAGCATATTATATATTACTCCATGTTTTCGTGAAAATCTGTACTGACTGATCAGCAGTTTGTTAAATAGATAGACACAGCGTATTTCTCCATTTTTGCAATTATTTGACACTTAGATTGCTATTATAAGTAATTATTTCAGATGCTCCAATGTGCGTCATTTCGATGTCACATTTTAAGAGGCACTGTGACAGGCTGAAGTGCTTCTAAAGGTGAGTCTGTTTTCTGGCACAGGGTCTGGGAACTAGGCTGTGTGAGGGAAGGTGGAGGACCGGACCCTTTGATGGGACAAGAACGGACAGGCGGGAGCCCAGCACTGCCTTTGAATAGGGGTTGCCGTGTAGCTGAAGGAGTGGATTTGTGGGGGTCAGCAGGGCCCTTTGTTAGCCTGGCCAAGAAGTCCCTCTGTGTCCTCGCCTATGCGTATGGGGGCGTCGGTGCTGAGCCCTCGGCCAAGTCACTTGTCCCGTCTGTTCTCTCCCCACCCAGCCCTCACATCTCCTGTTCTTAGTGGCTTTTGAGACTTTGCTGGAAGGCTGCTCGTGTCCACCTGAGCCAACAGGACTTTGCGCCGTTCTTCCTGCACCTGCTGCTTTCTTCCCTCAATCCACATGTGAACGGCTCGAGGGAAAAGGCTTGGCGTCCTGGGGCACGTTCTGTCCCACAGGACTTGGATAATTAGGTCCAGTCTTACGTGTACGTGGTGCTGCCATCTGCCACGTGGCCTGGCCTGTCAGACACACATTTTCATGCCGGAACATCTCTGAAATCAGCCTGTGTCTTACAGCGATGGCGTGATGTAGTTTAACTGACAGCATCTCTCTTTCTTTCTTTGTGGTACATACAGTCATGGGGCACCGTATAGCTGTTGGGGCATGAGGTGTGTAAAATACTTCGTGATGCCGACCCAGGGAGGTGGTCAGCAGGCTTTGGAGATGAGTCACCTCGTGCTCAGAGACCACCTGCCTCTTGATAGCAGGTCCAGGGGTTGGAACTGTGCCCTCTGACCTGGGGCTGGTGCTTTCACCCCTGCCCCAGGCAGCCCTCCCTCCAGGCCCCCTGACACCCACCCCACAGCTGTCCCTGCTGGCAACTCTTTCCCAACTCAGTGGCAGGCGTCACCTCACATTTTCCTCCTGTGCACAAGAGGAGTGACAGGTGCTGGAGCACGACACAGCGCCTGGGGCTTCTCAGCTCTCGACTTCTCAGCTCTCGGTGTGTGACCGAAGCGGAGGGAGGGCGGGC